AAGAGGAGGTTGAGGGGGGACATGATTGCTCTCTTTAAGTATTTGAAGGGCTGTCACTTAGAGGGCAGGGAGCTATTCCTGCTGGCAATGGAGGATAAGACTCGCAAGAATAGATTTGAATTAAGGACAAGAAGGTACCAGCTGGATATTAGGAAAAACTTTTTTACAGGAAGAATTGCGCAACAGTGGACTTAGCTGCCTAGGGAGGTGGTGAGCTCCCCCTCCCTGGCAGTCTTTAAGCAGTGGCTGGACCAACACTTGTCAGGAATGCTGTAGGCTGATCCTGCATTGAGCAGGGGGTTAAACTAGATGGCCTGTATGGCCCCTTCCAACTCTCTGATCCTACGATTCTATGCTCTTGCTCTGCTCTTTAAAAGGAGGCAAAGGGTACATAAAAGGAGTGTTCTCACAGGCAACAGGATTGTTTCCAGTGTGAAAAAGGAGTGACAAGTATGTCAAGACTAGGATTATTCTGCCTCTCAGGTAGCTGTCAGTGTTTTGACCCCGAGTGTGATCATCTAACACTGACTATGAGTGTGAACATGGTTCTTTATTAGGTACTCGAGTTAGGGGTGGACTGGGAGAGAAAAACAGCCCTGGAAAAGGGTCCCACCCTAGCCCTGCCCAATGCCCACTCAAGAGGCTTATGTGGGCCACATGGGGTGTCCTTCACATACATCTGGGCTGGGCTTGCCCAGTGGCTGAAAGGTGGCACACAGCCTCCCCCTCCCTATGTGAGGCTCAGGTAAGCCATGTGCTGTCCTGCCATTGGGCTGACCTTGCCCAGGTGTGTGTGGGGAGCCATTGGCCCACTGGAAGGGGCCATAATGGCTAGTCCACTCCTCACTCCACTTAAAACAACTCCCAAATGTAGATCATGGTGGAAAGTGCCATCAAGTTGCAGCCAACTTATGGCGACTTCCTGAGGTTTTCAAGGTAAAAGAGGTGGTTTGCCTGCCTGCCTCTGTTATAACAATCCCAGGCTGTCTGGGCAGTCTCCCATCCAAATACTAACCAGGGCTGACCTTGCTTAGCTTCTGAGGTCTAAAGAGATCAGGCTAGCCTGGGCTATCTAGGTCAGGGCTCAGTATAATTACCTTGTTCCTTACAGGTAAACAACTGGAGAATAATCTTTAAATTGCAAAAAAAAAAAAAAAATTAGGAAAGCTCTAATAAGGTGCTAGAGAGGGACACTTTATGTATCCAACATCATCTCGGAATTGAAACAAAGAAGAAAACAGAAACTATACAGATGTAATGATAGACACCTTTATCCTTCATTACACAACACAAAGCAATTGCTTTAAACCACAATTTAACTTCAAACAAATATAGAGGAGGGGAAAGTCTAGTGAATTCTAAGGTGGCAGGCAACCTAAGACCTGGCCTGGAACTCTCTCCCACTTCTTACTTCTTGGTCAACAATAGTCTGGGAAAGGATCCTCATTCTACAGGTTGTGGGAAGGAACACATGCTTCCTTCTTAGAGGATGTCTTCCTGTCCAAAGACTGTTCTTCCTTTCTCTATCCAGGGAATACATCTACCAATTTAATATAAATTCAGAATATATCTGGCTCACAGCAAGAAGGTATGAATTCATACTCATGAGGGCTACAGGACATTTAATTGACAAGAATCAGATTTACATTTCTGACTTAAAGTTCCATTTCCAGGACAGGTTTTGGAGACCTTTATTCCTAATGTGGTTGTATCATTTTGCTTTATACAGCTGACCGATCAATTCTCCTCCCTATTTGCAATTTTGTGTCCCAGGACACCACCAAGCAACAGGGAGAAAGAGATACAGTATTTGGTTAAGGTGCCTAGGCATCAAAACACCCAGAGGTCTCTCATAGCCACCACTCCAAACTGACTTAAGCTGGTTCCAAACATCACCAGCCATACTCACATTCCCTTTAGGGCTAGGAACTTTCACCCCCCTTCAGCACTGCTGTTGTGCGATGCCAGGTCCATTAACAATAAGACCTCTACACTGTGAGACTGTATTGCAGTACAAGAAGTGGACCTGGAGTGCAGGACCAAGATCTGGACAAGGGATGATGAAACTCTCCTCCAGGTTTCTCAGTCCTCCATCAGTCTCTAACAGTGGAACGGGGGGAGTGGAGATACTCATCCATGGGAGTTTTTCCTTCAGGGCACTCCCCATTCCAAAGATTGGTGGCATTGATTGCATGGGCCTTTTGTAAGACTCTGAGGTGAGCTTGGCTTTCTGGTGTACCATCCACCTAGCGCACCAGTGGACAGCTTCCCAAGCCTGCTTGAGGTGGTGGCTGGCTGGGCATTGGAGTTCCTGAGGCTTATCATACTCAGGGACTTCAATGTCCATGCTGATGTCGCCTCCTCACAGTGGGCGGTGGACCTGGTGTCATCCATGGCAGCAGTAGGGCTCACCCAGATTGTACCAGGGCCCACACATCAAGCAGGCCACACACTGCATCCAATCTCTGGGATGGGGGTTGACATCAATCTGATGGCCAAAATGTTGGTGCCATGGTCAGATCATTGTGCCCTGAAGGTCTGTCTGGGTGTCCCTACACCCTCCCATCTAGGTGACGAGTGGATTTTTGCTCACCAGTGGAGACTAATGGATCCAGCTGGATTCCAGAATGCTCTGTGGGAGCTGATGCCCTCCGATGATTCCTCAGATGAGCTGATAGAGGACTGGAATGCCCAACTCTCTGAAGCTATTGATGAAATCACCCCCCAATGTCCTCTTCGCCCCCATCAAAAAAACATCCCCCCGGTATACTATGGAACTTAGGGCAATGAAGTGGGAGATTAGACAACTGGAGCAAATTTGGCAGCAAGTCCGTGATGAAGCTACAAGACATCTTATAGGATGCTTATTAAATCCTATGAGATGGCAGTGAATGCTGCTAAAAGAGAGTTTTATGCAGCCTCCATCGCATCTACTAGCTCTTGCCCGACACAATTATTTAGGATAATTAGGTCTCTTACGTCCCTCTCTGAGAGGACTCCCAAAATAGGAATCCAATCTTAAGCTGTGAGGCATTTGTGAGCTTTTTTGCAGATAAAGTCTTGTCACTCCGCCATGACTTTCCAGCCAACGTTGATACAGTATGTGAAATGGAGGCTCCTTGGCCGTCTCTGGATTTGGTCTTTGACACCTTCAGCCGGCTCTCCCAAGCCAATGTCGGCAGAATTCTGGATGCTGTTAGGCCATCCGGCTGCCTCTTGGGTCTGTGCCCCTCGGGGCTAGTGAAAACCAGCACTGAGAGGCTCTGAGGCTCCCTGGAAGATATTGTCAATCTGTCCCTGGGTTTGAGGATTTTTCCAGAGGGGCTGAAGGAGCACTGCTTAAGCAGACCATTTGGGAGTGATAGGAAGCAGTGGTGTTCCATTATTTAATATGCCCTTCTGATAAGTGGTATCTGACCAAATTAATAGAAGGTTGTCAGCTCTTGAAAAAGGGTCTTCTTGAAATGGTCTTTATCAATTGTCCGTTGGGATTTGTTCAGCTGATGATAAATTTCTGCTTGAAGTCTTGGAAATTCTGCGTGCATAGGAGGACTTCAGCTTGTATACTGTGTATTATGTACTCATCATTAGATGTTTCTTAAATTGGTGAGGAAGGTTATTTTTTGAACTATTCATGCCTTGTATAATATGTTCTGATATCTTCTACCTTATATGTTTATAAATTCTATTGAATCCCCATTAATTCACTGTCTGTTGGATTAAATTGTTTTATCTTAACATACGTGTATGCCCCTGTAAGAGCATTACGCTCAGGAAATAAGAACTTCCTGGTGGTCCCCAGCCCAAGAAAAGTCTGGCTGTCCTGAACCAGGGCCAGGGCCCCTGCCTGGTGGAATGCTCTGCCGGAAGACATCCATGCCCGGCGGGATCTGCTATCTCTCCACAGGGCATGCAAGGCAGAGATGTTCCGCCGCGCTTTTGGTTGAGGACAGTGACGGGGGGACTTCTGGCCTTCTCACACAATTCCCCATTCCTCATAACCCCTCCCCAAGGGAGGCCAGGGAGTTATGATTTTCCGCCATCTTAAGCATTGTATATATACTGTTTTTTATCTACTGTTATTTTATTGGTTTTAATGCAGTTGTATGAGATGGTATAGGAGCTGTGGTGGCTCAAGTGGTTAAGATGCTGAACTGCAGGCTGTAGAAGGTCAGTAGTTCAGCAGTTCGAGATCCAGGGTGCCGTATGACGGAGTGAGCTCCCGTCTCTAGTTCCAGCTCCTGCCAACCTAGCAGTTCGAAAGCAAGAATTGCAAGTAGATAAATAGGTACCACTTCAGTGGGAAGGTTACAGCGTTCTGTGCGCCTTGGTGCTTAGTCATGCCGGCCATATGACCAAGGAAACGTCTTCGGACAGCGCTGGCTCTTCGGCTTTGAAATGGAGATGAGCACTGCAACCCTAGAGTCGGATTCGACTGGCTTTCGAGCAAGGGAACCTTTACTATAAGATTGTATATTATTTGTTGTAAGCCACCCTGAGCCCTACTTGTAGGGAAGGGCAGTCTATTAAATCTAATTTAACTAATAAATAAATATTGTTAGTTAGCTTGCTTCACAGTGTTCTTACTGTTTTCTATATTGTCTAACCATGATTCCCATTTGTATTTTGCTTGCAAATCCTATGAAGCAGGTAGTCCCACATTCCAGTTTTTAATTTGTAGATTTTATTTACTCCATTTATGCCCCACTTTTCTCCCCAATGGAATTGACATTATTTCCCCCTTTGTTTTATCTTTACAACAGCCCTGTGAAGTAACATAGGCTGAGAGAATGTGACTGAACCAAGGTCACCCAGCAAGCTTGCATGGCAGGGTGGGGATCTGAACCCGAGTCTCCAGCACTGTACCACTACACCATGCCAGCAGGCTTTGGAATAAACTTTGGAATTTGTACATTTCCTAAAATAGTATTTAATTAATTGAAACAGATAATTTGGGGGGGGGGATTCATCTTCAGTGCATTCACAATGCTTTTAGTTACCTTGTTTCCAATGGCCTTTTTTGGAGGAAAGCTGAAACTTCTCATTTGACGATATTTTGACTGTAATTTCTGATGCAAGCTTCTGAATTCCGTGTATCTTCGATAAACATTCCACTCATCGTCTTTTATCCTGATATATACCTGTTGGGGGGGAAATACAACTTTTAATTAAAGGAGGCGGGAAGTCGTGCGCCTCGAGAGAGGGAGGTTGCTGCCAGGCGCCGAGGAGAGCGTCCTGCCTGAGAAACCGCCTGAGCCAACAGGAAGAAGAGGAGAACACCACCAACTACCAACCACCACCATAGGGGTGCTGGTAGGTCTCCCCACCCCATACAAATATGTGGCCTTAGTCAGGGAAGTAAAATGGTGACTAGCACCGAATGGTAAGCCGCTCAGAGACCCCCCTGACAAGGGGGTTCGAGCGGGATATAAAGTTGAATGTTAAATAAATAAATAAAATTAAATTAAATCTAAACATATGCTTTTGCCACAGATGGCATATGAGTGGGAACCAGCAGATAAAAACAGTTGATTATTTTAACAGATAAAATTTTTACCTGATGAATCAGTTAATTAAATTATTAGAATGGTTTTCATCAGCTAAAAAGGGATCATGGTTAACTGGGCAGCCCTGGTTAATTAAGGTAAATATTTTAGACTTATAGATGGCAGATGCCATTCTTGGAAGAAGCAATCCTTTGTCTCTTGCATGGGAAGGAACACCTGAGGCCTGCTTCCACACATCCATGAGTCATCTTAGAAACAAAGTATCTTTTCCCTTGAACACTGTTTCACTCGCAAGCAAATATATGCAGATTCAATTAATTCAGGCATGATTAATCAACTATATTACTTTAAACAAGTGACAGCACTAATTATTTTTGGCACAGGTGACCCAATGGCACATGCTGCTTTGTTTCCACTAAATCTGAGGAAGCACTCCAGCTTCTTGGAAGATTAATGACATTTTTGTTTTCATTTTCACAAAGCAAACAGCATATTTCTTAGGGCACTCTAGATTTTGCTGATTGATATATACAAATACTGATAGAAAATATTGAATTCTAAGTAAGCAACAACAAGAATTAGTGACAGGGCTGATCACATATGAAATGTTTTTTAATTTGTCTCAGACTGCTCGAGATACATTTTTGCACAGTGAAGACGGAAGTGGAATGTATCCCCCCCCCCTCTCTGTTTGTCTTGATGCTTTTAGCCACCCACTCCTCAAAAATCTCAAATGGTGAGCTGGCTGCTAGAAGGTAAGGGGTTTTTTTTGTCTTTCTCCCTTTGCCTTCCTAGCTGCTGATCAGGAGGGCTTTAAACTGATAGGTTTAAATCAGGAGGGCTTTAAACTGAAGCCATCGGGGGTGGGAAGAAAAAGCCTAATGTTGTGCAGCATCCCCAACACTAAGTTCAAGAAGGGGAGTGACCAGAGAATAAATGAACGGGAGAGAGGAGAGTTCAGTAATTTTCAGGTAAATTCAAAGGGACCTAAGATAGGAAAGGATACCTTTAACCTGAGATGTCTTTATACTAATGCACAGAGTATGGGAAATAAACAGGATGAACTTGAACTTCAAGTATTAGAAAGTAAGTATGATCTGATAGGTATCACTGAGACTTGGTGGGATGAGTCTCATATATGGAGCACAGTGATTGAAGGATATACCTTGTTCAAACGGAACAGAATAAACAAAAAAAAGGAGGCGGGGTGGCACGATATGTCAAGAATGAATACACCTGCACTGAAATTCAGGATTTCGAGAGTTGTCCTGTTGAAAGTGTGTGGGTAAGGACATCTCTCAGAAGGTGGAGGTGAGAACCAGAGGATCTGCTATCCTAGATTTAATCCTAAAAGGGAATAACTGATTGATGAAGTAAACGTTGTGGGATCCTTGGGGAATAGTGACCATGTCTGCTTGGAATTTGACATAGAGAAGGATGTAAAACCAGGACATAGTAGGACTTGTATCCTGGACTTCAGGAAAGCTGATTTTAAAAAAACTCAAGAGAAATATTAGGTAGCATCCCATGGCTGGAAATGCTGAGGAGGAAATCTGCACTGGAAGAATAGGAGATGCTGAAAAATTAAGTGCTTAAGGCACAATCACAAACTGTCCCGGTAAGAAAGAAAGGTGGGAGATTGGTAATGAAGCTAAGATGGCTGAACAAGGAACTTCTGAAGAGCTGAGACTAAAAAGGGAAATGTACAGGAAATGGAAGGAGGGATAAGTTACTGAGGGTGAGTACAAGAAGCAGGATTGAATCTGTAGGGATGGTGTCAGAAAGGCTAAAGCGCAGATGGAGCTGAGGCTTGCAAGGGATGCTAAAAATAACAAGAAAGGTTTCTATGCTTATGTTCGGAGCAAAAAGAAGAACAGGGATGGGGTAAGCTCATTGCTAGGAGAAGATGGTCATGCCTTAACAAGGGATGAAAACAAAGCGAAATTACTTAACTCTCACTTTGCATCGGTCTTTAACCGTAAGGTCAGCTGTATACAAACTGAAGAATGCAGGACATATGAAGGCTCGCAAACCAGCAGTTAGAGAGGGGGTGCGAATGTCCGTGCCCCCAGGGAACCTTTGCAAAGGGTCTCCAGTCATGGAGCGCTGAGTGTCGCCGCTTTCCTGGCATGCTGTTGGGAAATTGAGACCCTTTGCTCCGACGGTCTCTCTGATGTGTTCCGGCAAGGACTAAGCTACGCACACCCCATCAAGCGAGTGGAGGTCGAGCAGCAAATAAGCATATCTGTTGGCGAGATCTACTTGATCTACAGATGAAGAGTGAGTAAAGTTGAAATGAAACAACAAAGCGAAAGCCCCCCGGGGAAAAGCGAGGGGGGAGAGGGGACTCTCCTCCGCTAAGAACTGTTTATAAGTGTTACGGAGCTAGAAGAGGGGGGGGGCAGGTTTAAAAGCGGCAATGGACTATACGGAGAGATTCCAGGAGGCAGTTAAGCGTTGATGCAAGTTTTCGGGACTTTGGCAAACTTTGTAAAAGTAAACATCCTTCAAAATGGAGACGGACAATGTAGTAAGAGCAACAAGCGATATCCAAGCTTTCTCCAGGAAGTGGAAGAGCTGCTGGTTAACCATCTGACTGGAAATAATCATAGACTCTTGCAAACTGTGTCTTAAGCCTTTGTTCCCTGTTGGTATAAATGAGGTACTATGCAAGAACTGTGCTACATGTCAGCTGTTGCCTTTAAAAGGACTGTGTTAATATTGGAGAAGCGTCTAACCAATGATCATAGGGGCTTCCAGGATCGAAGAGGAGAGTCAAATGGGCATTTGCAATTCGAAGGGCCTGTATGCAGACCATAAGCGAGGCTTAAAGCGAAGGAGTATCTTCCATGGTTATATCCTGATTAAGTCTGCTGGGCAATAGGGTGACGAGACTCTCTTCAAGTCGGTCAGTGAAAAGCAAATTGGAACGACCCCTATGATTGAAGGAAAGAATTTAAGCGGAACAGTCCTGGAAAAAGGAAAAGGGTCTTTGTTTTGAGATGGCCAGTTCCTGATACAGCAATATGGTGCCACAGGGAAGAAGAAAGAGGCAAACAGCAATGGAAGAGAAAATGAGATTGTGTAATATCTACTGAGGGAGACTTATTGTTAATTTGCTTTTAATGGTGGAGGGGAAAATAATGGTTAAATAAGATGCTGTTGTTCTATGTAATTTGTGTCTAAGTTAAATAGCGATTCTCCTGGACTACTCTTCATATAGTCAGATTTGTTGGGATGTTTTTACAAGCTATGATGATGACTGATAACTCTCAGTGTTAAAGAAAGTTTTTTTTTATTATTGTTAAGCAATTTTTTTACAAACTGTATGTAACCTCCAATCCTTGGGTTTTTAGTGTTTCTTTTCTTTCTCCTATAGTGTGTAGATTCCCTCCCTAATTTCGTTGTAGTTTTTAGTAAATGCAAATAAAAAATCCCCTACAGGGGGCCATAAAAAATACCGTACCCAATGAGTGCTCATAAATGGCTCTGTGTCTATGTGGAGGGAAGTCTCAAGTGGAGTGCCACAGAGCTCGGTCCTGAAGGAAGACATAGAGGAGATGCTTATCAAATTTGCAGATGCCATGAAGCTGGGTGGGATTGCTAATTCTGAAGAAGACAGAGTCAGGATTCAAAATGATCTAGATAGGTTGGAACTGTGGGCTGAGACAAATAAAATGAATTTCAATAGAGATAAGTGCAAAGTCCTACACTTAGGTACCAAAAAATCAAAGGCACAGATATAGAATGGGATGGACTTGGCTTGACAGCAACTCATGTGAAAGGGATCTAGGTGTTCTGATTGATCACAGGCTAAACATGAGCTTGCAGTGTGATGTGACCGCGAAGAAAGCCAATGCAATCATAGGATGCATTAACAGAAGCATTGTGTCCAGAGTAAGGGAGGTGGTAGTTCCGCTCTATTCTGCTATGGTCAGACCTCATCTGGAGTACTGTGTCCAGTTTTGGGCACCACATTTTAGGAAGGATGTTGACAAGCTCGAGCATGAACAGAAGAGGGCAACTAGGACGGTGAGAGGGTTGGAATCCAAGTCTTATGAGGAAAGGCTGAAAGAGTTGGGTATGTTTAGCCTGGGAAAGAGAAGGCTTAGAGGGGACATCAAATATTTGAAAGGCTGTCATGTAGAAGATGGAGCAGATCTATTCTCTCTTGCTCCGGATGGCAAGACTAGATCTAATAGGTGGAAATTACAAGAGAGTCGATATCAGCTAAATATCAGGAGAAACTTCCTAACAGTAAGAGTGGTTGAGCAGTGGAACAGACTGCCTCGGGAGGTGGTGGATGCTCCTTCACTGGACATTTTCAAGCGGAGGCTGGACAACCATCTTTCGAGTATGTTGTAGGGCTATCTTTCAGCTATGCTCCTGCAGAGTGCAGAGGGTTGGACTAGATGACCTGCAAGGTCCCTTCCAACTCTAACATTCTATGATTCTTTTTGAATGTCTATTTATTGACTTATATTTCTATTGCCAGAGCCTGTGGGCCCTCATGTTCAATTCATTGGGGGAGACTTCCACTTTTTAAAAGAAGCCTCTTACTTTGTATAGGTTCCTTGACTTGTAATGTTAACCACACAGGCCTTCTTGGCAGTGCCTCTCCTAACCTGTGGAATGCATTCTATTTGGGCTTCAAACAGTGTGGTTTTAAAAAGCTTACAAGCATCCTCTAGGGATTTGACTCTCTTGTGTTTCCCCTTAAACTTCCTTTTTCACTATTCCCCTCTTTTTTGTAAATTTCCCTCTTTTGAAATCAAATGTGACAGTTTTAGACTTTAGGACTTTCTATTGACCTGAATGCTGAGCTTAATAGCATTGTGGCCACCGATCCCAATTGGCGTAACAACCTCTACATATGTCAATAGGCCTTGAGACCTGCTTAGAACCAAGTCCAAGATCACTACCCCTCTGTTTGGCTCTGTGACCAACTGTTCGAGTGCACAGTCATTTATGATGTCCAGGAATCTCATTTCTACAGCATGACTTTACCCAGTCAATGTTAGGGTAGTTGAAGTCTCCCTGTATAATAACATTATTTGCTTTAGTCACCTTTCTACTTCCTTCTCCAGCTCAAGATCAGCCTCAAGGGTTTGATCACGTGGGCCCCCAAGTTTAAGTAACCCTTAGGTTCTAGTATTTTCCACACATATTGCTTCTGTTGGGCAGTTAATTATCTTGATGCTTTCCAGCTTATTTGATTCTATGCCTCTTTGATATACAATGAAACAATAACAATAACCGAGCCCTCCATGCCCTACCCAGGAATGACTGTATCCCATAGATATTACCCATTTCACCATGTTTCTGAGGTACCTACTATATCTAAATTGTCACTGAACACCAAGTGCTCCAGCTCGCACATCTTGGCTCCGAGACTTCTAGCATTGGCTTATAGAATCATAGAGTTGGAAGGGACCTCCAGGGTCATCTAACCCACCCACCTGCACAATGCAGGAAATTCACAAATATGTCCCCCCCCCCCCCAGTGGCCCCATTCCACGTCCAGAAGATGACAAAAACCCTCCAGGATCTCCAGCCAAACTGGCCTGGAGAAAAATTGCTTCCTGACCCCAAAGTGGCGATCAACAATTCCCTGAGCGTGTAAAAAACAGCCACAAGAACTGATGCCACCCTTCCTGCCATCCCTCTCATGATCTGCCTAAGTTCACAGAATTAGCATTGTTGTCAAATGGCCATCTTGACCCTGTTTAAAAACCTCCCGAGGAAGTCTGTTCCATTGAACCACTCTATTAGGAAGGCTTTCCTAATGTTTAGCTGAAAACTCCTCTGATTTAATTTTAACCCATTGGTTCTGGTCCAACCTTCTGGGGCAACAGAAAACAACTCTGTACCATCCTCTATATGACAGCCCTTCAAGTACATGAAGATGGTTATGTCACCTCTCAATCAGCTCCTCTCTATGCTAAACATACCCAGCTCTTTCAAGCCTTTCCTCATAGGACTTCCTCCACCGATTGAAAACAACCATTCCCTTGACAAGTCATTTGAAGAAGAAAGTGATTAGGCATGCTGAAGTTCACAGCATAACCTGCATAAATAAAAACAAAATCAATCTGAGGTGCATCATGGCTGCAGTAAATAAACATGGTTATCTACCTCTCTCTCTCACACACACACACATGCAGTATTTATGGGTATTCTTTGGGGACAATCTCTACCTTCTCATGTTGTTTTCTCTTCCATACTAAGTGAAATGATTCCATCACAATGAACAAACCCAAGAGTCAAATCACATTACACAAACTAGAATAATGGAAAATGAATTAGATGACATTATGTATCCGCTTAACAAGACAGAAAATTTATCTAAGGTGAAATACCACTCTGAAATGCCCACTGAAGATAGAGTGACTTTAAACCATTCTGAAGCAGCAGCAGAGGAGTGGAAGATACTTTGCAAGCCAATTTTCATACTAAACATTAAAGGCTGCATTTGCCTGCACAATAGGGCATGTGGGGTTTCTGCACCAACAAAAGCCTTGGTCATGCATACTATACAAGTTCAAATCGTTGTGTATATGGAGGGGGTGGGAAGAATCAGGGTTGTCGCTACTACACTCCCACTAACTTTAGTGCATTCAGAGCCACCTGAACAGTTTATCCAGGGTACGGACTGTATACACAAGAGCTGATGAGCATAGACACTGTGCACTCTTGAGTATGTACAGTGAGCGGGGACAGAAGGTGTAATTTGCAATCCCATCACTCCCTTGGGTTCATTTGTACACAGGGTGCATGAATGGAGAAAAGGAAGCTTGGAAATTCATGGTTCATTTCCAAAGAAAAATCAGCTAAAACTAAAATCATCTTGGAAAGCTGTTTCACAGTCTAGTCCTAAAGCTGCCAACTCCTACTGCAACAGCACAGCAGGTCAGGCAACAACACTAGCAGAGGCAGAATCCCAAGGAGATCACTATGAACAGAGAGGAAGGGGGAAAGGAGGAAATTTTATTGGAGAACAAAAATACAGTCATTGTACTGAAGAGCCCTCACCCAATCATACGTGAAGAGGACCCAATCACCTCAAAATGATTTATACAGTCATGTGATATTTTAATGCAAACTCCTACAACTGAAGGGAGACATATGTTGTAGCCTTAACATAGTGTATGTTATTGGTTATCATATAAATAAGATAAAATGAGATAATATATTTATTCACTATAAACACATCATTTAGGGAGGAATTCACTGTTTTCTCAAGCAGATCTGTCTTATCAGTACTAAAGCGACATATTAAAGTTACACACATAATTAATTACATGCTCTACCATCAAAGGAAGTTAAGCTATTGGAAGGCATTGTGAAGATCCAACGTTTGTGAGTCTAACCTGAGATACTCATGTAAAATACTGTAGAAACTATGCAATGGCCTCCCCCAAAGCCACTCTGAGCCAAAGTGATCCTCAATGACAACTTTGTTGCTTAGCTTCTATTTTACTAACGAGCAGGCGACAGTGTCATAACAGTAAAAACACAAAGTGTAACTGGGGAAAAGGAAATTGTGAAACTTACCTGGTAAACGTGAAATGCATTTGCTGCTTTTCCACGGAGAAAGACTGAAGGAATCCAGACGTTTATAAGCGCTCGATTTGATCTGAATTTTAAAAAAGTGAGAGAGAAGGCTCAGCTGTATCAGAGAGCTCTTCTAAGGAAGAATACAGATGTATCTCCAACCACTTAAACTTCTATCTTTAATCCACTCTTTCAGCAGGCTACTACAGAGTCAGACACTGGTTCTCTCGTCAGAGAAAATGGGAGCTTTGAGTTTGCCATGATAACTAATTAGAATTCTGCACAGCTAGTTTTTGAAATGGAGGAAGAGCCAGTTTCACCTAAACAATTCAGTTTAGAACTGATAGTTGGGAACAGTGTACCCTCTAAGCTGAGTTAGTGTGAGCTAGCACACAGTTTTTTAGCCTCTCACTCACACGTTTTTGTCTTAGCTCAGGAAGGATGGTTTCAGAGCAAACGACTTTATGCAGTAGACAAATCTCCTGCTCACAACTTTAATGCCAGTAGCTCAGAAAGTAAAATTTTTGCTCGCAGGACTCCACAGCTTAGAGGGAGCATTGGTTGGGAAGTCTGTCACAAAAAAAGGGAGAATACGTATCCAAAGCAAACTCACTGCTCAAGCAAAATGCATTCATCTTCACCCCAACGCTTTCCTTCACGGAGAAATTTAAATAAACATTACCACACAGTGGGCTTAGCACCCAGAAACAGGATTCTGTAGTTTATATCTGGAAAATCTTGTTTGCCTCTAGGTAAAAAGGTAAAGGTTCCCTTGCTCGAAAGCCAGTCGAATCCGACTCTAGGGTTGCGGTGCTCATCTCCGTTTCAAAGCCGAAGAGCCAGCGCTGTCCGAAGACGTTTCTGTGGTCATGTGGCCGGCATGACTAAACACCGAGGCGCACAGAACACTGTTACCTTCCCACCAAAGTGGTACCTATTTATCTACTTGCAATTTCTTGCTTTCGAACTGCTAGGTTGGCAGGAGCTGGAACTAGAGACAGGAGCTCACCCTGTCTTGCGGCACCTGGGTCTTGAACCGCTGAACTACTGACCTTCCACAGCCTGCAGTTCAGCGTCTTAACCACTTGAGCCACCGCAGCTCCTGTTTGCCTCTAAGGTGCCACCAAATGCAAATCTAGGATTCCCCAGCAGGCAAAAATTATATCAAAATCACAAACTTTCCCTCAACTCACATTTCAAAATCTGACAGACTCTGGTCTTCAGATGTTTGGCTGAGATCTCCAGGAACCTGCCGGGAAAAAGAGTCAAATAATCATGTTACGTATAAACAGTACTCTCCTTTTGCATTGTATGTAACATAAATTTAAATTTTCCACTATGGTGTCAACATTGCTTATATTCAATTGCTTTACTGAAAAGAAATTCAGAAGCTGATCCAAACCAACCACTTAATTTGGAGAGAAGTAACCCCCCCTCCAAAATTCCTAACAGTATTAATAGGTTGTCTTCTTCCACCGTAGTGGGTGACATGGTAGATAAAGGCCTCTGGGAATAGGCAGGATTCTCGTTAGCTTGAACCCCTGCCCTGTACCTTCAGCAATCAAAGATCCCAAACCTTTTGCCGCCACCACTTGGGATATTAAGGTCTCCTTAAAAATGCATGCTTAATCCTCTAGTAAAGACAATGAAAGAAACAAATATTAGCTGGGGAGCAACCTGGTAGCATGAGTAGAATGTGGCATGGGAAGAGACAGAACTATTTTGAAAGTGGTGCGCCCAGTATTGTAAGATATTTTGAAAGTACTTATGAAAAGCAAAACAGAATATACATGACATTTAAGAGTGACAAATAGGGATGGACATGAATGGCACATGAAGCAAAAATTTGTCACGAATTCTGCCGCTTTGGCTAGCAAACCAGAGTTCATGTTGGGTCTACCATCTTGAACATCCACAAACTTAAAGTAGTTCACGGCAGTTTGTGGATACAGCAGAAAGCAGGGGTTTAAAAGGACTCTGAGTCTCTATAAGCCTCCTCTTCTGTTCCCCATGAAAACCTCAAAAAGAACTGAGCTGTGGGGAGCAGCTGCTCCCTGCTGCTCAGCTGTTTTGTGCAGTCCCTTTAAACTTTAAAGAGACTGGACAAGACAGCCAAGCGGCAGGTAGCAAGCACTCCCTATCACTCAGCTTTCGGAAAAGCCAGTTTGGTGTAGTGGTTAAGAGTGGTGGACTCTAATCTGGAGAATCAGGTTTGATTCCTCACTCCTCCACATGCAGCCTTGGGTCAGTCACAGTTCTCAGAGCTGTTCTCTCAAGAGCAGTTCTCTCAGAGCTCTCTCAACCCCACCTACCTCAAAGGGTATGTGTTGTGGGCAGAGGAAGGGCCTCCTCTTTGAGACTCCAAGTGAAGGCTGAGGTATAAATCCAACACTTTCTTGTGCACTCCCTTGTCAGTAAACTGCCATTTGTATTCTATGAATGCTCTGTGTAACCCGCCTGCTGTATGATGTGGGCGGAATTAGCCTGCATTGCTCTGTTCTCATCCTTCCCTTTGTGCTTTCTCTCTTGTTTTGACCTTGGGATGCTTTAGCTGCCTTTGTAGTAGGTAAGACTGTAAGAACCGTTGACAGGGCCGTTCCCAATCTGGCTGGTGTGAACCAAACGGCTGAAAGGCTATCTCCCGCCTTGGTTTTCTCCCGCTAGAATTTCTCCTGAGCGCAAACTGTATTCATTGGCTTAACCCTTTTTTTTTAACTGTCTATATCTGTACATGCTTGGCTTTGAGTTGCATTCCTGACAATGACCATGAAAGTGTATCAATAGTGACTTGTATTAAAGCAACCTATTCTTATGAATCGTTGTGGACTGCAACTGCTCTACTGAACCTGACATCCCTGAAGCAACTGAGCAGCAGGGAGCAGGTGCTCCCCATTGCTCAGCTGTTTTTCAGGCTTTCTGCAAACCCAGATGAAAGGGACTGTGGTCTCTTTCAATGAGGTTTGCAGGGTCACAAACCACAAACTGGTTTGGTTCATGAACCACAAACTGCATTTTTCCAGTTCATGCCCATCCCTAGTGACAAAGCAGGAAATGTTGAAAAATGGCAATAATCATTTTAAAAAGAAAATACAGACATTCCAACCGACTAGTGCCATCTACAAAAGACAGTCTTTTGCTTAAACCAACTCAAGATCTTTTGGGACACAATTCTCTAATGCACACAGCAAAAAGAAGCAGGACATCTCAGCTAACAGCCTCCCAGACATGAAAAGCTACCTAGCTTTTTGAAATCCATGATTTTGCCCCTTGAAAAAGAAAAAAAGGGACTTCCGATTTTGGCGCGACGCCATCGGCAACAAGCGGAGGAGTGTCTCTGCAGATTGCCGACTTTTCTGACACTTATAGAGGTTCAAGAGGTTTAAAAAACATACCTCAGGAGAGAGCCTGTGAACCCCCTGTAAGGGGGCTTACGCAGGGAAGACGGACAAAGCTGAGTGAGGGTGGCAACCAGTGTTCCCTCTAAGCTGAGTTAGCGTGAGCTAGCTCACCGTTTTTTAGCCTCTTGTCTTCGCTCAGGAAGGAGGGCTCCAGAGCAAACTGATTTATGCAGTAGCCAAATCGCTCGCTCACAACTTGAATGCCAGTAGCTCACCAAGTAGAATTTTTGCTCACAGGACTCCACAGCTTAGAGGGAACATTGGTGGCGACCCACGACAAGCAGAGGTCCTATTTCCACGCCTGACGTCGGAGAGTACTTCAAGTCTTCAAAGACATTGAAGCCTAGTTGGAGCTGCCAAAGACTAAACTCCAAACATAGACTACAGCTTGAACTTTTAAAAGGAAACTTAAAATCAACAAGACAAATTACTGAAAGGCTATCTCGACAGAGGAAAAGGTGAAATACCACTTTAAAACCTACACATTCGTTGGAACAAGCTGAGAACAGGGCGGACAGTAGATCGCCCGGACAAAGTGGCGCAGAAGAGTTACGTCACGGCGTTGAAACAAGGAAGACTCTGGGATACCGTAATGAAGAAGGTAACTGATAAATCTTTCCATGAAAATATTTCTACTTAAAGAGGACCGCCTTCCAAGTATATAAATCTGGATAGATGGGGCGAGATGTGGAGACGCGGAGAGACAGCTCATTACGAGTGACAGGAGTTACCTACAGGAGGAGGTACAGTTTGCCGGGACACTATTTCGGGAGCAGCGAGAACCTTTTTGTGACGGAACTTGCATAAACTGAGAAAAGGTTGAACAAAAAGCCCATAGCGATTTAACTGAAAGGAGATTGTGTTACCAAAACGAGTGGACAGTGTGACTTATCTAGGACAGTTACAGAATGAGAGGAGGAAGACCTGAAGATAAGAAGAAAAAGAAGAAACAGAAGAACAGAAGAATAGAAGAGTTGAAGGGACTGACTCTATTGGTCAGAGTGTTCATTTGTGATTGATAGATGTTTTTCCATTTCGTTTTCATTGATTAACTTATATTGACAGCTATGGGATAATTATTTTCAATTGAAGATTGAAGGTCAAAGAAGATGGGGACGGCAAAGGATGAGATGGTCAGACAGCGTCATAGATGCAACGAACATGAAATTGAGCAAACTTCAGAAGACGGCGGAAGACAGGAGGGCCTGGCATGATGTGGTCCATGGGGTTGCAAAGAGTCACTGTGCGACTGAACAACAACAAAAGTCAAATCCAGGGGCCTGTTTTGAGGGATCCTGGGCTTGAGGGTCTCAGCCAGGAACTTGCGGACCATCAGTTCAGCAGAATCTGTTGCCACTGCATGCCTGGCACCCACACCAGTGCTTCGTGCCTCCCACCTCACGACGGACAACCAGAGTTCTCGATTCTCATTCCCACATCTCAAGTCTGTTGTGGTCCCCGATGCTCTCTCCACGACCTTGTCCTTTTTGCTGGCTCATCCCTTCTTCCTCTTCTTCCCCCTCCTTGTCATCATCTCCCACCTTCCTCAGCTGTCTCTGTCCCCAGCCACAGAGCTACAAACCCTGCACCTGGCGGCACAGTTCACACTTCCACTACTGAAGCTGTGCATTTTAGAGGGTGACGCTTCCCTTGATGGGTCACACATCCATGCCAGCTTAAATTCCTACACCTCGAAGAGTGGGTGCAAGCGCTCCTCGATGCCGTTGCGCAATCTGTCAACCAAGGCCCTGACCTGAGGGAGAAACTTGGTTCCCTCGGGGCCTGGCTGCAGCACAGACTCGATCACCTGATCTAGCCCACGAATGAGTGAAATGACTTGCCCCAGGCTGGCCATGTGGGCACAGAATACATTGGTGACATCCTGAAATGGTTGTGCACCATCTGTGAGACAATCAGCCAGTCACTGGAGCTGATGCTCAGCTTGCCGACCCCCCACTGGATGGACACGGAGGACAGGACGTCCTGGAACACTGTTTTCTGCTCCGCCAAATGGGCAATCATACCATAGGTGGAGTTCCACAGCTGACATCGTGGAGGAGGACATGCTCTGTCTCATCCACCTCATCATGCCTCTCTCTCAGCAGCCATGAAGCTCTGAGGCTTCTCAAGAAGTGCCAGCAGTTCTCCAGCAGGTAACTGATCTTGGTGGCGCCCTCCTTGCCCCCAGCATTGTTCCCCAGCCCCAGAGCATCCCTCACCATCAGGTGAATCTTGTGTGTCACACAATGTTTCTTTTAGCTTTTTTGGCGGCCTTATATGTTTGGGCCACCATCTGTGACCACATAGCCATGGGTGATCTTTCCCCCCAAAACCAATTCTTCAGGCTACTTTGAATGGTTGCAGAGATATTCACTACTGTGTGCTCCATATCCATACCCTGAGCGTGGAGGAGCACTGCCTTGTAGCCAGATGGAAATGTGCTCGCCCTCACATGGGACGTGGTCCCCTGCCCACACTGGAACTCCTCTTGTTGCCACCAAAGGGTGGTGAGGGAGAGGTAGCTGTGGTGGCAGCTGCTTCGAAGGTTGGCAGTCAGGTGGCTTGGCTAGCTGAACTTTGACCAGACACACTGCAGAGTGATATGTGGAGGGCAGACTCGCCAGATCAAAGTTCCCCTGGAGGGGATGGGGTACGACACATTGTAGAAGTCCCTGGAAGTCCACATCTTCAACCAGAGAGAAAGGCTGGCCATCCAGGGCAATCATCTGCCCGATGTGCTGAGTGATCACCTCATGAGCCCTGGCCCTCATCCTCCTTCCAGGGCCCAGTATCTTGCCTAGGGGAACCCATGGTGGAGGCCAGAGATCCCATCATACTGGCCTGTGCCTCC